ATAATTCTCCCCGGCCCTCCCCGGCTTATTTATCGATCTCGCGGACCGGCGTTCTGGACAGGGTGTAATTTTGGCACCCCGCGAAGCACCCTCCCTTCGGATGCGGCCCACCGGCCAAATTGCGCCCGTTTGTCCGCTCGTCTAAGTGTAATCGCGATTGCCGATCCCCGTCCCGGAACTTACGAGCTTCCATTCCGAGCACCCGATAAATCCGTATACCTAAAAATAATACCCACGTATATTGAACCATACGATTCGATAACCGTACACTTTCCAAGGGGAGAAAACCGAAACGCGTGTCTGTACATCGATCGGACTGTTCAGGACCATGTTCTTGCCTACTGATCAAGAAACTATCAGATCACGTTCCTCCCTTTACGACAGAAATATTAAAAAATTAAGAAGCACTATAGGACGTCATTGGAGTAGAAATTGAATTTTCTTCATTTTTTTTTTTCGTGTCCGATCATCAATTTCGCTGATTCCGACTCGCGATTCGAAGCACAGTGATTTCCGTTACCACCAAATTATTCTTGTGCCTCCCTTCGCGGAATGAATTGAAATAAAGAATATTATTCATTTTCAGCGAGCGAAGAGGGTTTTCATTTTCTACTACGAAAGGGACCATGTTTTCAAAATGCCTGATGGAAAGACACGCTCGATAATTTCCGCAATAGTGACGTTATCCGGTTTTTATTTTTTTCCTTGGAGAGGGATTAACATTTTTTAATTAGGGGAGGTCGTTGAATGTCAAAGTGGAATTTCCTTATTTTTTAGTTCCCTGTCAAAGGGCTCACCCTTTAAGCATTTCCGACGAACAGGCTTCGGCGGGCTCGACCTGCGGTTCCGCGGTCGACCGATCTGCGGCTCTTTATCAGACGTATCGACCTAACAAGCTTCTCGAAAGACCGAGGTCGGGGTCGCAGGGATCGAACGGCCATAATCATGCGACGTTTCCGTCGAACCCCTGTCGAAGACATTTCTATTAACCTCGCCACGGGGATCCGGAGGCGCACAAGACCGTCGACGTCCCCGCGGAAAATTCTCCTTGAGGCGTCCACGTACCGAGGAAGTCCCTACATGTACTTATGACATCCCAACAAATTTCTAGTCTCTAACCATACCATCTCTCCACGAGATAATCCAAAAAGAAATTAAATCCTACCTAGAAATTTGGTATCTCTTAAAAGTGACAGGCAATCTCCATTTCTTCCACTTCTATCTCTAATTGAGGACTGAATTCCTATTAATCCTAGCGTGGATATTAAATAGAAAATTGGTATTAAGTGTAAAAGCGATAAAAGTAGAAAAGTCCGTATTAAGCATGTCGAAATGTCCGTTGGGTCGATTTTCTTAATGAACCGACACCCAGACTGGTAACTCGCGATAAGCGGTTGTCCGCGATAAGCCTCGAGTAATCGGCGTTAATAGGTTGCGGCCTCGGACGGGCGCCGAATTACGTCGAGTCCTTTGCAAGGGGCCTCGATCTCTCCGATAATTTAATCGAGTAATAACGCGTCACACGTCGCCTAACAAGGCGGGCTGCTGTCAGCCGGTAATTAGGCGATGCCGGTAATCGGGGTGGAAGGCGGAAGCGGTTGTTTTCTTTCGTCCCGAGGGAACGTCGCCGTCGGTAAGGCCGAAGGGTCCTTTCACGAGCGGCGTCGGCTGGACGGCGCCGAATTTCTGGCGCGTAAAACCTGCCTGGAAGGTAAATAAGTCGGACGAGGCGGCCGGAAGGTGCGATTCACCTTCTGGGCCCGATAATACCGTGACAACGCCCCTTTCGAGGCATCGGCCTCTTGAGAACGGCGGCACGAAGAGGAGGAAGTGGCTCGCAGGAGTAGAGGTCCTTCGAGGCAGGACTCAGCCTGAAGGACTTCGTTTAAGGGGATTTGGACGTCCCGGTCAGACGCCGCCGTGGGCGGTTTTCTTCTCCCGCCTCGGTATCGACTTTAACCTGGACTTACCCCCAAATACTTTCAAATTTCACGTCTACCCGTTCAATAGCCCCAAGTATATATACAAGTAAACGTGCAGTACAGTGATCTTCCCGAAACCATAAAAACCCTACGACGTGAAAATTGAAGAAGGCACCCTACAAGCTAAACATCAAGATCTGGGCAGAAAAATCGCGGCGGCGCCATATCCAAATTTCTCCTAATTAAATCGTACAATTTTCCCGTACACTTGGAATGAATTTCAAGTGCGACAAGAAACGGCCAATCGAAATCCCCGACTACAAGCAAAAAAACCCCTTAATACAAGAATTCCATCGGCGAGATTTAATTGTTACGCTTGTTACAATAGCACGAGGCATCGGAAAAATCCGGGCAGGCCATGACGAGGTACGGAAAGGAAACAGTGAACTTCGGAGGAGCTCCCCACGTGTAGGGCGATCGTCCGGGTCGTCGTCGCGGCGGCACTTAGTCTTATGAGCGTCGTCTTGCGCCGCGAGCCGTGGCTTCGTTTCCAGCCGAGGAAGCCCTCGGTTTTCGAGTTACTCCAAAATGACGCGCGCGCCCCGCGCCCCCGCGTCGAGTGCCACCCGGCAGTGGTCCCGGGAAGCGAGTGGGAGGGAAGGAGCGAGAGAGGGCGCGCGGCGGGTCCGGCAGTAGGAGAGAGACGGAGGGAGACAAAAGCAAAGACAATTCTCGCGCAGGGCCGGTGCGGGTGGGTAGAGGAAGAGGGAGAGCGCGACGACGGGCGCGTGGGCGCGAGGGGGGGTATGACGGGGTAGGGGGTGAGGGAGGGCGGAGGAGGGGGATAGCGGGGGAGGCAAGCTCACGGAGCTCGCACACCCTACAAAAATATCCCGTTAACGATTACCAACCCCTCTCCCGCGTGCTCGTTATATTGTGTCCCCCCGCGGAACTTAGAAACAAAAGACGGGCGAAGGCGCCTCCTGATTGGCCCGCGGCTCGCGACCCGCCGCGCTGATTGGCCCGCGGGACCGCACCCACTCTGCAATGGCCGCTTTGTCGGTGTGTACGCGCCAGTACGTTCGGTGGGCGCCCCTACGGGCGATCCGTCTCTCTCCGACGCTCGGCCGCCGGCTCGCTCCGTCTCGCTCGCTCCCGCGGCGCGCTCGGGCTCGCCTCCTCGCCCCGCGGGTCCTCGGTCTTTCTCCTTCTCCGGCGAGAGCTCTCGTTCTCTCTCCCTCTCTCTCCACCGTTCGAACCCCTGCCGCCGCATCGTCGCCGATTATATCAAAATATAATCACTACCCGGTACTCGTAGGCTCTCTCTTGCTACCTGGCGGCGCGGTGCTGCGGGGGAGGCCCCTTCGAGCACCATGCAGTAGTCCGCGCCGGCTTACGGCAGTTTGCAGTACCTCCCGGCACCTCGTGACCTAGGGGCTTTTCGAGAGAGAGAGAGAGACCCGTCTACCAGAGAGTGGCGGCGCCTCGAGACGCCGAGGAAAGCCCGCACCTTGTTCCCGGGCCGCCATGCGGAAGCCGATTTCCGCCTAGGGCCTGCGGATAACTAACCGGTGAGCCGCCTTGCGGAAATCGAGCTTTATTCCACCGCTTTTTGCCCTTCCGATCCCCTCCCCCGGCCTGTCCAACCACCCTCCCTAGGAACACGCGCGGTCACCCTGGACGCCCACGAGTGGCCGCCTCGTAACGATCCAATGGAATGTCCCTAGGTGACCGCTCCTCCTAACGTAGGAAGGCTTTATCGTCGCTATCGGATCTGGGTAGGCCTTGAACCTCGCGTTAGTGCCGCGTGACTTTAGCGCGGGGGAGATGCGAAACTGCTGCCGTCACTTCTCTCCCTCGAGTGGCTGTCGTAACGATCCAAGGGAAAGACTCTAGGTGATCGCTGAAGAACCGCCTTTATTGTCGCGATAGGGCGCCGATAGGCTTAGAATCTCGCGGTAGTGCCTCCGGGATTTTAGCGCCGGACGAGGGGCCGAACGGCTGCGGCCACTTCGCGGTGAAGTACCCACCCGTAACGGTCCAACGGCAAGACCCTGGATGACCTCTCCTACGAGTCTAGGTTCCGATCCTGCCTTTTCGGCAATTAGTCGCGGATAGGTTGCGAATTTCGCGTTGGTGCGCCGGACGAAGAGCGAAACGGCTAGGGCCACTTCTGGGGACATCGCCCTGGAGTGCCCGTCGTAACGATTCAACGGAAGGGCCCTAGATTCTAGGTTTTGATCCTGCCTTTATCTCGGCAATGAGTCGCGGATAGGCTGCGAATTTCACGTTAGTGCGCCGGACGAAGAGCGAAACGGCTAGGGCCACTTCTGGGGACATCGCCCTGGAGTGCCCGTCGTAACGGTCCAACGGAAAGGTCCTGGGTTCTAGGTTCTGATCCTTCCTTTATCTCGGCAATGAGTCGCGGATAGGCTGCGAATTTCACGTTAGTTCGCCGGACGAAGAGCGAAACGGCTAGGGCCACTTCTGGGGACATCGCCCTGGAGTGCCCGTCGTAACGATTCAACGGAAAGGCCCTAGGTTCTAGGTTCTGATCCTGCCTTTAACGCGGCAATGAGTCGCGGATCTCGCGTTAGTGCGCCGGCCGAGGAGCCGAACGGCTGGGGCCACTTCTCCGGGCACGTGGTACGAGCCCCTTGTCTAGAAGTCGATCGCCGGCGCGTTCGATTGGCCGATGGCGGCCCTCGAAGAATACTCCTCGAGAGAAGGGGACTCCCGAGGGATGGAGGACTGCTTCAGGTAGGCCCGTGGAACGCGATCCTTTCTCCGGTCTACGACTATCGGGGCTACGTGAAATCATAGATGGCATCCGGGGGGGAGCGGTATAATGGAACACGCGGTGATTTTCCCCCTTTTCATCGCAACGCAGCCGCGGGGACTCGTGTCCTCGTCGCCGTAGAAAATCCACCGGGATCCGGTCCGGCAATATGCCTCGCTTTTTCGATTTTCCTCCAGTCCTTTAATACCGGCAATTTCGGAACGACAAGTAATCCTGACTATTTGGCATTATTATTATTTTTTTTTAGGCATCCTCCGCACCCTGCGACTTCGGCTCACCTGTATCCTGTCTTCGGGTAGCTCGGTCCGCATGCTCAGCATCTCCCGGGCGTAGACGTCGGGATAGTGGGCCTCCTTGAAGGCGGCCTCCAGCTCGTCCAGCTGCTGGGACGTGAAGATCGTCCTGGAGCAACAACCACATGAACCTAGTTATATGCCATTACAACTTTTCTCCTAAGACTAAGCTCGCCTAGGTCGGTCCTGTCACGAATCGGGGTAGGGTAGCTACCCCTTCCAGGCACCGATTTAATACACCACTAATACCATTTCCTTATTACCGTGATATGTATTCCAAAAGCCCGTTGGTTCTTACCCCCAAAAAGCGAGATATCGTTCGAGGAGCGTTTTTACATTTTAAATCTGAAATTTGTTAATACTTTGACGGGTTGACAGCGCAGCTGCCGTGACCGTGACGACCACTTGGCAGTCATGGGAATGACGGGACTCGAGGAGGGTTAAATTTGACCGAAAGACGCCCAATTAGCGATAATTCGGGGAATCGTCGGCCAGGGTGGACGGACGAGCATCTGGTGGAGGCGCCGAAATTGAAAGTCACTTCCAGGACGGTTCCACGTCTCGTTATAAACCGTCTCGTTCGATCGGCCGACGATCGTTGGCTTCTCGTTTAGGAGTGCCGTGTAATTTCCACCGGAGACTCCGGTAATTCCCGGTTGTCCGCTAATCAGGCCTCGTTAAGGAGTCTCGCGCCTCGGCGACGTCGTCGTCAGCGCGATCTCCTTCGCGTTATCGCGGAAAGGGGCTATCAAGCTCGCGCCGTCTCTAAAATGGCCGCCGGGGGTGGGTTTCTCGGGATCTCGGGAACGAGATTCTATTAGACGGCGACTTCTGACGGAAAGCGGGAAAAACGTCTCCCAAGAGGGTCCCTTTGCACGCGGAAAGCAATTTCTGCACGCCCGATTATCGCTAGGTGGCGGAATCGAGCTCGAAGGAGTGTATCAGAGAACCTCCGTATGGATTTAGTTCCTACAAGGATCTCTTTACCACCCTTCTCTAGTAGGGCGTAGGTCATTTTTACCGCCGTTTGGGGTAATTAACCCTCGACCTCATATTCACCGGAAACACTAAACGAAAGAGTCAAAGAGAAGAGGCCGAATAATAAGCGTTTCGAATTCACAGGAGTCAGTAAGGGAAGGCGTTTGAAGGAGGAAGAAAAAAAAAAAGGAAACTGGAATTTTCGAATTCTCTTTATCACCCTTTTTCGGTGAACACTAAACGCAAGAGTCAAAGAGGAGAGGCCGAATAATAAGCGTTTCAAATTCACAGGGGTCAGTAAGGGAAGAGAAGGGCGCTCGAATGGGGAAAAAAAATAAAAAAACGGGATTTTCGAATTTCGAAAGCCTGAGATGGAGCGGAAACTCGAAATCGAAGAGAGTCGAACGGTGGGAACTATCGATTAACAATCGTGATACGGATTAATTTTCCGGAAATTTTCTTTCCTCGCCTCTCCTGATTGCAGAGTGCAGGTAATTTTTATCGTTTCTTGGGATAATTAAGATTCGACGGCATATTAACAGGGAACTGTGGGAATTATCATGAAAGAATCGTGATAAGGGTTTTGTTTCTTGCGGAAATTTAGTACTTCTCGCCTAGTTGAGAGTAGGCGAAAGGGATTTTAACCCTGCGGATAATTAACACTCGGCGCCATATAAAACGAGAATAGTAAACTCAAAAGCCAGAGAGAGAGAAGGCCGAATAATGCGTGTTTTAAATTCACGCGAGTGGACGGTGGATTCGCGGTTGAATGTGAAAAGGAAAAAAAAAAAAAGAAGGGGGATTTTGAAAATTTCGAAATCCCAGGACGGGCCGCGATTCGAAACCGGAGAGGGCGTGGAAAAAAAATCCGGCTGAATTTTGAGCCCCGTGCCTCTGGTGTAATTGTCGCTTGTCCGATATACCAGCCCGGGTCCCGATTATTATTACATATTTCTCGGCCGAGCCGAATTTTTCGCCCGCTATATCTGCCCCCGAGTTTCGAATGTCCTTTCGTCCCATTAGCGCTTTTGCACCGTCCAGAGAGAGAGCCGAGTTTTTCGTTTCGCCCCGCGATTCGTTTCATCCGATTCCCTCCTGCCATTCGGTGCAGATAACGCTGATAACGGATAAGCGTATCCAAGTTAACATGAGAGACTCACCTATGACGACGCTTCTTCTTCTTCTTCTTGCTGAAGCCCGAAAGCCCGTCGACGGTGTAGTCCTTGCCCGACTCGACGTTATGTCCAACTCCTGCAAGCACGAGCATAAACTTTTAATGATTTTAATCTTTAACTTTTATCAATTTAAACATTTCATCGCGCATTGAAAACGGAGTCGGAACGAAAGCGAGGGACATTTCGAGGTTTCCGTTCGATACGACTTTTCCGTCTCGATAAGAGAGCCTGGAAAGTCGATTCTATCGATAAAGGGAGGTTACCATAAAGTCGGAAACTGTCGGGGAAACATCATTTCCTAATTAAAACGCCTCCCATATCGCGTCAGAGATTGATAATTTCCGCACATCCCGGGCGCGATAAACGACCGTAATGGAGTCGGCCGCAGGCACGTGTGTCAACTTTATATTATATTTTCATCATCCCTAGGCCCGGCCTGTCTTTTTTTTCTCTCGCAATTCTACGCGTTAACATGAAACGATCCGGATCTTCCTTTTTCAGCGATTCGCTCGCATCGCGGACGATCCCGGCAAACGAAACGTCGCGCGTCCGTCGTCGAAGCTAGCTGCGCCGCGTCGTTTGGGGAAATTCATTAAAATTACTCCGAGTCCTCGCACTAGCGTTTCCGCTGGATTCGAGGCTCATTATTTTACAGTCCCGGTTGTAATTGATAATTATACGCACAGACTCGTCGGCCGACTCGGCCAGGGCGAATATCAAATTACCCATTAGAAGTATCAGCCCTGTCAATGGCGCCCGCAAGTCTCCATGACACCGGACTTATTCCCCGGCCTTTCGAGATTAACTTTCGACGTTTTAAGTTCAACACAGCTCGTGCCGCATTAAATATAGACTCTTGACATTTCATACCCCATAAGTTAATTAATATCGGCGGATTGTGTTGGATTTATGGGAGATTAGGGAGGGATTTAGAGAGAAAAGGGTGTAAATCGAGGCGCGAGGTAAGAAGCAAGATGGCCGCGGATGTTCTGACTTCTCCACAGCTCGTCTCATAAAATATACAGATTTCATGTTTCATATGAGTGTGAATTAATTAATATCAGTGTATTGTATCCGATTTATGGGAGATTTGTCAAAAGAAGAGGGTAGAACTCTCCAGATAGAGGCGCGAGGGAAGAAGCAAGATGGCGGCCGATACAGTGATCAGGGCCGCCGCGGGGCGGCGCCATCGGCGGGCACAAAGCCGCGGCTCGCGGGCCGGCACTCTCGCATCCGCCGAATAATCATCAATTATAAATGGATTTCGAAGTAACGAGGGAAAAGCCACGGCTCGAGCTCGATGTACAATGAACCGGCGCGCCCTCTCTCGGGGCGGCCAACGCCGCCCACGCGCCGCCTCCCGGCTAATTAACTATTAATTAAGAGCTTAAGTCCAATTATATATCCCTCGACTAATTGGACGGCGAAACATTGCTGGCGCGATTGTAGCGAGGCGAGGCCGCGGTGGACCCGAGCCTTTATCCGGGCGAGTCGGCCGCCAAGGTGGGCGCCAAAGAAATAAACGAGAGAAAACCGAGAGATGGGCGGCGGGGGCGAAGGGGGGAGGAGCTCTCGTCGATTTCGGGCGCGACGCGCGCTGCCACTTTCGAAACTCCCGCCGCTAGCGCCCGCTAGTTCCGGAGGCCGCCGCGCGTTTGGCCGGCGCTGGCGGCGCGCGACTCGGTTCAAATTAACGGACAGCACGGGGGTCCGGGTCCGCGCGCTGTTTTCTCGAGATTTTCCAGTGTTTTTCGCTTAAAGTAAGGACATGGAGGAATTGAATCCACAGTGTAGTGAAGAGGAGGCGAAATCACGCTGCCAGGAGGTATGCATCCAGTCTCCACGGCTAATTGAAGGTTATCTATTCGTCTATATAGGCACTCGAATCCGAAATGGCGGTTATAGAAGATAATCGTTCGTCGACGCGGATGCCAGAGGACGTTACTAGCGTCCAGACAGGAAGGAAACGACGGGAATATAAAGACACTGATAAAAAATATGCGGACGAAATACCACGATCGAATTTTCTCCTAAGAGGTGCTTTTACAAGAGAGGAAATGGGTAAGGGAGAACGAATATAGATGCGAAGGACACGAAGGAGAGGTTAGAAAGGTACGAAAGGAAAATCTATGCTCATAAAATCCGCAGCTGGGAATTCTCTGTAAGAATGTATTATCGATCCAGGTCGATCGTCGCGGAGGTCCAGAAAAGTCAGGGAAAGCGTCTAAGGATGCGTCGCAGCGAACTTCGAGGAAAATTAAACGGAGCTTCGGATGCTGCGCGGGCTCATTATCCCACCATCCAAAGTTGAGGGGTGAGTTCGTCCTCGAGCAGTCTCCGAAGGACCGTCCCACCGTATTTTTGACAGATAATTGGATTAAGGATTATTCCAGGACAAAAAGCCTCACCTGCGACGGAGAGAGAGAGAACCAGAGAGCGGCTAGGAGGAGGTGAACCCGGGGAAAGCAGGGAACGCAGGGAAAGAGCCGAAGGGTGGCGCGACCGATCGAATTTCCCTCGGATGGGTCGCACCAATGGGGCGCGGTGCGGTGCGGCGGCGCCGGAAAAAGAGGAAATAAATATTTCCCGGGCCGCGCGGAGCGATACGCCTGCATTGTTTCTCGGGTGCAAAGAGCCCTCTCTACGCCCCCTCGTGCCTCCTTATTCGAGCTTTTAAGTGTGCTTATTTACCGCAAGCCATCGAACCAATCGTTCCGAGAGCCGGGAGTCGGCTGCCGGAGAGCGAGAGGGAGCGAGAGGGACCGCCGGAGGCCGAGGAACCGAGCAAGAGGAGAGAAGGAGAGAGAGAGAGCGAGCGCGAATTCGTCGAGGCGCCGCGGAAATTCCGCGGAAAAAGGAGCGTGGAAAAATCCGGAGGACGCCTACGCGCCAGGGAAAACTCGAGAGCGCCGGTTTATTGGGTTTCAATTAAAATTTTTCTCCAATCGATAGAGGGGGGGAACCCCCGATCGCGCGAGGACCAAGTCGACCGAGGAATGGCTCGACTCGCGAGCGCACTCGAATTTTTCAACGGTTTATGCTTCGGGCAGGCAATTCCCGATCGCGTGGAGGAGAAGACTCGTATCCGCTGCGGAGGTTCCGCCACTCCGGGGGCGAGGCTCGCGCTTTTAGCGCTTTTAGCCGCGAGTCTCGTCCCCTGAAAGCAAGCGGATGGAAACGCTCGGGGATTCCCTCGCACCTTCCGGGGGATCCAAAGCTTTCTTCCTTAATTAGCGGGCCTTCGATCGCTGGTCGTTTCGCTGGCGACGACGCCAAATTGCGCCAATTAAGGAGAAAACGTCCCTAAGCCTCCGGGACGGATTCGCCCCGGCGTCCATCTCGACCCTGGAGTTCCTCCTCGACTGTCCGGAGCGCCGAAGAGCGAACCTGCCGGATAAGCGACTCGTTTTCGGCAGACGAGGGGGAAATTATCGCAGATTATTGCAAATTCGAGTTATTGCAAATTACTGAGAATTATTGGGAATTATCGTAAATTATTTCGCTGTTGAGCCGATAGGTAACTTCCTCACGCCGGTATCTTCGCCCTCCGGTTTTCCGGCCGGCCGTTATTAACGCACCGCGGATTCGACCGGTGAATATAGTCTCGCCGGTAATTGCGGCACCGCACCGGGAGACTTTCGATAATGGAGCCTCCGATACAAGCGGGTATATTTATTTCCGCCTCGGAGATATACCGAATCGGCCCTGCGGATTTGTTACGCCGTCGAATTAACGCGGAATTCGGGCCGCGGCCGCGCTATTAATTACCGCGGTTGAATGCTCCGCCGACAATTTGCCGCCGCGTCGATGGGACGGCTCGACGCGGACGTTCCGTAGCGGAAAAAGGGCTGGACCCTCTCGCCGCGCGGAAAGGAACCGCCCAGTGGAGACTTTGAGCGTTTTCTGTGGAATTTTTACCGACAATTAGAATCTAAGTACCGCTGGCATTGTCCATTGATCGCGGTCCTTGCCTCGACGTGGCGTACATCTTTGTTATCGCGAATCCGCCCCTGCGGAATCCGTAATTGCGGCCATAATCAGTCCCGATGGTTAATCGGCGAATTAACGCGCTAAGATATCGCTCTCCGATGATATCGCCCGAGGTCTCGGCTCTCCTCGTCTCGGAGGTCCTTGGGAGGATCCCAGGAACGCGCGGCGCGTCCTGCGGGACCTCGTCCAATCGAAATTCCGCCGGAGAAATCAATTAATCCGATCCAATTAGCGATTACGGGAGCAGAAGTGCGGAAGTTGGACGCGCGCCGAGCGGCCTGGAACGTCGACCCTGCGACTCGCCCTGGATCCCTAATCTCTCTCCGAAGTCGTCCCTGGGGACGTCCTAAGTCCCTCGGGACCTCCTCTGTTTATTACATCCAATTTCCGCCCTGGGAAGTGGAGCCCTAGGTCGACTAAAGGCCATTTTCCCCGACAAAATGGAGAGTCGCGACCGGTGCCACCGAATTCCTTGGCTGAATCTCGACGGAGAAGACTGGGAAAAAGTCCTCCCCCTCTATCCATTCTCAATTTCGATTTTATTCACTTTCCGAAAATGTAATATATGCTTCGTTCTTAAAAATATGTCGCGTGGCAAAGGGAACCGCGGCGTTGAATTATCGCGGAATTGCGAACAATAGCCCATTGATCTATCGGGAAACAGTGTTGAAATTGTAGAGACGGTCGAGGGTGCATCGAGATGCGATAAAAGCGACCCAATGTGGATTTATCCACGTATAGCTGAGTAATTCCCGAAAAAAGAAAATCGATTTCAAATCTCGTTTTATTAATTTTCCGAAGATGTAGGATGCGTCGTTCTTAAAAACGTGTCTCATACGTGGGATTAAAGGAAACGCGGCGTTACAATCACCGCGGAATTGGGAATATTAGCCTATTGATCTGTCGGGGTAAAATGTTGAAATTCTAGAGATGTGTCGAGGGTGCATCGAGATGCGATAAAAACGACCCGATGTGGATTTATCCACGTAGCCGAGTAATTCCCGAAAAAACGAATCGACGGAGTCGATTCGGTCTCCCCCGCGTTAGAAGTCGTCGATGAAGCGACGGCGAGTTTCCGCCGGAAAC